ATTGTGTGGAACAAATCCCTAATTAGCGCAAGCATATCCGTTTACCTATTCCAAACTGACAGATGATTTGTTTTTGACTTTCCTTCTTACAAACAAAGCTGCAGTAACCATTCTTGTATATGTCCCCTTGTAGGTGTGTGTGTATGTTTCTCTAGAATACACTGGAAAGGAGAAATCCCAGGCTGATAAGGTAGGCACATGGTTAGTTTTTAACCAGAGTGACTTGAGAGATTATGGTAACATCGCCACCAGCAGTGAATGAAAACTCCTCTTGCTCCTCATCCATCCTAGATACCAACTTTGATATTATTACCTTGTATAAAACAATTATTGTTTTATTTTTCATTTTGCTTATTACTAGTGAGGCTAACAATCTTTTCATATGTTTTTTTGATAACTGTGTTTCCAAAGTTTGCACATTTTTACACTTGGTTACTTGTCTTTTCCTTACTGATTTTAGGAATTTTGCACTTGACATTTAACTTTCCCTTGGATATTTAAACCTTGGTGTTTTAAACCTTTGATATAAATTAAATTCTGGGATTTCATCAATTATTTCCTCAAGTTTAACTTTAGTTGATAGTGTTTTAAAATTTAGTTTCTAGGACAATTACAATTATAAAAATAATTTTTGCAGTAAAGTTTTACTGAAACCACTGAGAGAAACCAGATTTAATTAGGGGAATGCCCAATTTTTAGACTAACATAAACTTTAAATAGATAACAAATAATTATATTATTAAATTATATTAGTAAATTATTTGATGTAGTCCTTCACTATTGAAAAGATATTTGAAATTAACACACCAATTGTTTAACTTCTAATAGGTATTGCAACATCATTTTGGAAACATTTCACATTTTGTATATTGCATAATTTCTCAAAATCTCCACAGGGGATCTTTTTGGAATTTCTACCTGAAATTTACAAAACTGTTCAGTTTAGTTCAATGTAACAAACATTTATTTAGTATAACTAAAAATATATACTAAGTGCAAGAGACTAGGGCAAGGACACATAGCATAAAAAATCAGCTGGAAAAAAGATTGGAAGGATGGCTATAATTATAAGAACTAAAATGTACTGTCCACTTACAATACATATCCAGGTACAACACTAAGTTATTTACTTTCAATAAGGAGAAAATATCAACCATCAGAAATTGTCAATCAAGAGAGATATTTATCCTTGATATAGAGTTGGTCTCTAAACCGTCTATACGATATTCAAGAATCAAAGAATCATTTTGCCAATATCCTCTCTAAATCCCTAGAAAATTCCATTTTACTATATGGTTAGTAAATAATTTTTACTAAGAGGATCCTATAAGTTTCCAGGTGAACTTCAGTTTGGAAAGGTTTAAATTTTTCATAAATTCTGTATAAGTATAGTACAAATTAATGTTTACTGTATCCGTGCCACTTGTTTGGCCCTCAGCCAGGTGAATCCTGCGTTTGAAGCCTTGCTTCGTGGAGGCCAGGCGGCTGCAAGAGGTGTCAGCTTGTGCTAGGGATGGTCGGAGGCAGCCATGTGCACGCCATCTGCACCCATGAGATCCTGAGTTTTCTAGCTCCGTTACCCGTTACACCTTTTCAACATGCCTCTCTAGCTGTTACTGTCCCATGGGAGGAGTGCAATGTGTTATGATTGACAGCATGGGATTCAGGATACAAAGCATATATTCAAGTCCTCATTTTGGAACTTAATGACCTAAAATCTCTTAAAATTATCAGAGCTTCAATTTTTTTCTGTCTATAAAGTAGTAATTGTAATAAAACCTTCATATAACTTCTCTGAGGATCAAATAGATAAATGAGTGTGAAGGTTCTTCATAAATTGGAATGTGCTATACAAATGCTATTGTTTGTGGTTGTTAAATAAATTAAATTGAATAAATTCCCTTTCAAGGTACTAAGTTTGCCTTGGTGGAGAAGAGAAACACTGAGGTCTGTTAGCGCCTCCTTTATGTTCCTGTGACAGTCATGGCAGGTCTTGGTCTTGTTAAAGGTGTGATATATCTATACTCCCATCTACCAGTATATCTGCATGGGTGAGCTCTATATCTATGTTAACAGAGAGTGGTGAAAACTATGACATTGGAAAGCACATTTCCTGCCTAGAGGGTTTGCTCTTTTCAATGGCAACTGACTGGGAGCTGCCCAATATTTCTTCCATCTTCCAAATCGAAGACAAGATAAAAAGCCAGATTTTTCCCCCTTTTTACATTTTTTTCCAGCATACTATGGGGGTACAAATGCTAAGGTTACATATATTTCCCAGAATTGGGTACATTACAGTGGATTACAGATAGGTTATGAAATCGGCAGAAATTAGCTCCATATGCCAGATTTTTGTGTAATTTGACAAGTTAGTTTATATAAATGTTTTTCATGTAATATGGTAAGGAATTTTCAATTATTCTAAAGCTTCAGCAGGCACATTGGCTTTCACTTGACCAGTAATCCTAGCATGTCTGGGAGAGGCGAGGTGGGAGGAGTCTAAGGGCAGGAGTTTAAGATCAAATACAAGACTGCTGGAGGCAATTGGACACCATAGGTGAAAAATGAGAAACCTGTACTAAGTCCCTACACCTTATATACAACCATAACTACTCAGAAAGAGATGCACACGACTTAGGTTAATTTTAACCCACCATAAAACATTTATGAAGAAAATTGAGATCTAGGACTAAAGACTCTTTTAGACTTGACACAACAGCACTATCTATAAAACGAAAAATTGGTAATTAAAATCAAATTAAAACTTTAGTCTGTAGAAGACCCAGACCAAAAACTAGAAACAACCTAGATGTCCTTTAATGGGTGTATTCACCCATTAAAAGTAGTTAAGCAAACCGTGGGACATCCAATATTATATACTACTACTCAGCAATAAAGGAACTGACTACTGCTTTATGCAACAACTGGATAAATCTCCAGAGAATTAGGCTGAGTTTTTAAAAGCAATTCTAAATGTTACCATGGTACAATTCCATTTATAAACATTCTTGAAATAACAAAATTACAGAAATGAAGAACAGGTTAAGCTTGCCAGGTGTTAGGAAGAAGGTAGAAGTAGGAGGGAAGGAGAAGCGGTTACAAAAGGGCGCAATATGAGAGACACTATGTGAGAATGGGAAATATTCTGTACCTGACTGTGTCAATGTCAATATTATAACTATAGTTCCTATTATGATATTTGCCGTGTCTTGACAGATGTTACCATTTAGGGAAACTGGGTAAAGGATCTCTGTTTTTCTTACAACGTATATGTGAATCTACAATTATCTCAAAATCTTTTTTTATATAAAACACGCAATATAAGGAAGTATTACATGAAAATCGATATGGAAGAAGAAACAAAGTGATATCCAATCTGATGTTCAAGGTTGGAGAAGTTGCTGCTATTACTAAACATTAGTAATTGTAATTAGTTAAAAAATGAAATTAAATGTTATTTTATTCCAAAAATTTATATTCTTCAAGATAAAACAAAGTCTACATAATACTGCCTCCTTGGTGTTTTGCAACAATTCAACCACAAAAGCTCTCACAGGAACAGGAAAAGGCAATGCAATACACCTTTCCAAGATCTCAAATGTATTTGAAAGTGGCCAGGTGATGTCCTTCATGTTCACCAAAATTAGTAATTGGAACCACATTGTTTGTAAAACCCTGAACTGAATGTGGCCTTGCTGTCTTTCATAGTGGCTTGTCAAGAGTTGCATTTTATACTTATAAGTGTAATATTGGCTAAACTCCTCTTAGCTTAGTAAATCAAGATGCATAGTCATGTGTGGCTTTATTTTTATTTATTTGAGACAGAAGTCTCGCTTTGTTCCAGGCTACGAGTGAGTGCCGTGCGTCAGCCTCGCTCACGCAAACCTTAAACTCCTGGGCTCAAGCAATCCTCCTGCCTCAGCTCCCAAGTAGCTGGACTACAGGATGTGCCACCATGCCTGCTAATTTTCCTATATATATAATTGTTAGCCAATTAATTTTTCTATTAAAGTAGTGACGGGTCTTGCTCTTGCCCAGGCTGGTTTAGAACTCCTGACCTCGAGCAATCCACCCGCCTCTGCCTCCCAGAGTGCTAGGATTACAGGCGTGAGCCACCACGCCCGGCCGATGTCTGGCTTTATTAACTTTGTCTCCTGGTCTACCTATCGCAGAGCCTGGCACATATGGGTCTATGATATATTTATTAATTTATTCTTCAATTCATAAAATGACTGTCTCTGCCCACTCAACCATTACCACTGCCCTAGCATGACAGGGCCTCATGAAATTATCTTTTTTGTCTAGGGAAATGACTAGGCAGTAGACTCAAGGGGGCTATGGTTTGATAGATGTGAATGCATCTTTCCCGCTCTATTTCCATTCATAAGGTTAAAGAGTATTCAGTTCTACTTTGGGTGGGGGTGGGGTTGGCTGCTGCTTCTGCTCCTGTTCCTGTTAGGAGTGAGTGGTCAAAAAAATAAAACAAAGAGGAAAAATCCGCCTGGTATCTACTCAGTTGGAAATACTATAATTGTGGAAAATAACTTTGTACCGTAGTAGATATAATTTGGATTTGGTTAGGGACTTTCTTTTCTTTAAGCTACAAGACCATTAGTTTGGTTTTTCCTGTTACA